CTAAGATCCAACCACGTTTGGATGGACTTGAGTTATTATATTATTACATTATTTATTTTAATAATAATAAAAAAAAATCTTTCTATTAATTCTTATGTTTTATGTATATTAATTTAGTAGAATTAAATAGAATTCTTTATGATATGCATTTGCATTAATAATTGATCGAAAGATGTGAGATAAACACTAATGCACATAAACGATATCATTAAATGTCCCAAGTCGTAGCATTGTTATGAATGGACATTGATTATATGCGGTTAGACTTGTAAGTGTTATGCTCATGATATATGATAGCAATAAGAGATCTCACACATATTGACATGATGATGTTAAAACAAGTACTTAAGTGATTTATGTTAGAGAATATATTATTAAACTTGACTCGTCATGAGAACTCATTTGGTTTAGTCTATGTGAATCTCATACGAGATGAGTACAAGTAGTCCTTAGACTTAAAATCATCACAGCTTATCTCATTAGAGGATTTATGTATTTTGACACCGAAAAAAACATAAAGACAGTTAGAAACTCACATGCTAAAAATAAATGTACTTGGGTTAATTGTCGTTGATGTTAATAAATAAAGAGAACAGAGGGAATTGAGAATTGACATGCCATAGTAAATGAGGCAGCTACAGTTAACTCGGTGGTTCTGAGAGGGGGGGGGAACCGGCATGGCAAAAGTGTCTTTTTCCTCACAAATAAAATTAAAACTCCCTTCCATAACAAATAAGATAGAAAATTATTTTACAGTGTAAAAAACTTTCACCATTCCTTAGGGGCATTGAGCCCAATCTCTAATACAAAATACAATTAGAAAAGAAAAAATGAAACTCAAGTTTCAGTTGCTGTCCCGACGAGACTGTCCCTGACGTGTAATATTTAAGTTCGTTGTGTTTGCAGACATGTGCATGAATAATCGAATCGATCAAGAACTTGCAATTTTGGCAGCATGCTACGTGGCAAGCTTAAACTCATAACTGAGTCCCATGGCTATGAGATGATTTGTTAGTTGCATGATCTCACGCGCTATTTACTTATGAATGTGAAACACTTCAGTTTGTCAACAAGAGTTCTGGAAATCTTTTCTGTTTGCCATGAAACATTTTCGTATGAATCTCAGATTCCATATATCACCCGCAAATTCATAGAGTTTATACACTTGTCATCATCTCAAGAACACAGAGCATCAGGCACGCTATTAATCAACTAATTAACAAGAACTTTTTTCTTCTCAACTCTATCTATCACATTTAGAACCTACAGTTGATTAAAATTATATTTACAAATTATCAAAATGGTTATATATATATATAGAGAGAGAGAAAGAGACGCCTGATATTCTCCTCTTGTTCTGCATGAAGACATTTGATTATTGCTACAGCAAATCTTCAATTCTCCAAATAAGTAATAATAATAATAATAAATAAATAAGGGATCCAATTCTTTTTTACAGGGAAATGTTGACTCACCTTTATATGAAGGTTTTCTAATCTTTCTAGCTGGGAAATGAGGAGTCACTTTTTCTTTTTCTTTTTTAATTTTCTTGTTTAATTTTCACAAAATAAAATGGCAGCTTACTTTCTTTTCCTCGCATAGAAATAAGGCTGTAAAATTCAACTCTAATCCAATATAATTAAATAAATCTAATAAAGAGTTTGATTATGATCCGATTTTATTAATCCATTTATTAAATAAATTAAATCCGCATCTATCTTAATCCGATTTAATGACAATCCAATCCAAAATTAAAAATAATATTTTCATAATAAATATAATATTTTTAAAATATTAAAAATTTAAATATAAAAATAAATTTTTTTTTACCATGTAGGCAAAAAATAAAAATTATTTTTTTATTTTTTAATCATATTTTCTACCTAGTTCAAAACAAACTTTTATTAACATTATTTGAATTTATATTTTCAAATTATATGACATTTTAAACAAAATTAATATATAAAATATTATTTTAACATATTTCTTAAAAACATGCCGTGATTAAAATATATCAAATGCAACAAGCATAAATTTTGCAAATGCCTAATAATAAATCGAATAGAAATCCGAATCCTATCCGTTCAAACCTAAATCTAAATTAACATATGATCCATAGACCTCATCTCCAGTTCACCCATCTCTAGTTCTCTACCTGGTTGGTCTTAGAAACGATATCTAAGCACATATGATCCATAACCCTCATGCTACCAAACGACATGCACCCACACACAAAATCTTCCTTGAATCAATTAACCCCTTACTGGGGTTAATATAATCCTTGCCTCCACTCTTATTCCAAGTGTAATCAACTACTCTCTCAAGTAACTAAGCCTGAAGTATTTTCCTAATCACAACTGAAGATCCTCAATCAGATAGGTATATAAAGGGTTGTAGTGCGCAGTCTCTGCCTGCCCATTTTTCACAAGACACACAAGATCAAAGCCAGGCACATCGAGGCTCATCCAACCCACTACTCTCACGAGAGCAACCATCAAACTTTTACCTTCCACACACCACACACATGTTCGAAATACTAAATTACGCTTGAGCGCAGAGGGGAATTCAGAGATCGAGCAATATAGAAAAGGAACCGTTAATCCAACATGGAACCATGTTCCGTAAATAATATATAAGATGTATAATGTTAGTTAAAAAAAAAACGTTGCTAAATCTCATTACACAAACCGCAAACCCAGAAAAAGAGAAGCAAAAGGAAAAAGAGAAACGCTTGCATGGAAGAAGCATTTCTGGAACATTTTATGACATTTATGTTTCGAGGATATAGCCAGAGGCCATTGCTATTGGGCAATGATTCCTGCTCTATTATAATACTACAAGTGACCCAAAATGTCCCAAATTTCCAACGAAAAAAGAATCAAAGCGTTAATAATAGAACTAACATAACAGAAGCCATCAGAACCATTTTAGTAATACGCAATCACAATGATTTACCATCAAACCCCAAATACAATAGCTTTCCCCCTCTTTTTTTCAGAGGGAAACATGGCTCATCAAGTCCATGAAACATTCAAACTGACAAAAAATAAAAAAGATGCACTTCCAAAATAAAACCTATTCCCCTTCAATTTTGAATTCGAACAAAACATTTCCAAAATCTAACATTAAAGTCAAGAGATGCAGCCTTTTCTCAAACTAATCAAGCAGATAAACCAATATCACATCAAACATATAACCAGAAACATAGCTAACAAAACCCACATTAAGCACAACCAGAAAGTATAGCACAAACAGCTAATTAACTCAAAATTAACAGTACCAATAAAACATAACTATAAGTTCAACATCATCCATGTTCTAAATAAAGAAAATCCTTGTTCAATAATTAAAACAAAAAATCTAAAGATCATTTAGATAAGCTTAATCACCACCAGCCTTCTGGTAAACATAGGTAAGCCCGCACTTACCACAGTAGTGCCTATCAAAATGATTAGCCATGAAAGTTCCAGCACCGCACTCAGCATTAGGACACTCCTTTCTCAACCTCTGGACCTTGCCGCTATCATCAACCTTGTAGAACTGGAGCACAGCGAGCTTGACCTTCTTCTTCTTGTGCTTGATTTTCTTGGGCTTGGTGTAGGTCTTCTTCTTTCTCTTCTTGGCTCCACCCCTCAAGCGAAGCACCAAGTGGAGAGTGGACTCCTTCTGGATGTTGTAGTCAGCGAGGGTGCGGCCGTCCTCTAGCTGTTTCCCAGCAAAGATGAGACGCTGTTGGTCTGGAGGGATGCCCTCCTTGTCCTGAATCTTGGCTTTGACATTGTCGATGGTGTCAGAGGACTCAACCTCGAGGGTTATGGTCTTGCCCGTCAAGGTTTTCACGAAGATCTGCATCTTTGCTTTGGGGTTTTTGGAGATGCAGAGCAGATGGGTAAAGGGTAGGTTTCGGCTGGTGGCGTGTATGAGAGGGGTATTTGAGTAGGGGAATGTTAGGGTTTTTCTTAGTGAGAGCTTCATGTACGGCTTTAACCATAGAACTGTTTTTTATTTACAGGGCCTAGCCTGGCAATTGGGATGTGGATATTGGACTTTTTGTTTTGGGCTGGACTAGGTATAAGAATTGCAACCCTCGTAATATTTAAAATGTATTTATTACTTTTGCAAATTCACAATAGTTAGCGTCTTCTTTTTCTTTCTTTTTTTTTTTTAAAAAAAAAACCACAATTATTTATAAATATTTTATTATCTTAAATACATAACATGATTACTAAAACTTGGAAGTGAAAAAAATCATTTTCCATATCATTCCAATAAAAAATAAACAGATATTGCAAACTATTAAATAACCTCTAAATTTACAAGTAATGCTATACTAGAAGTGACTATTAAAGTGATTTTTTATGAGATGTCTCCGAAGATACGTTACTAAAGTAGTTTTAGTTCTTTAAATTCTCGTGTTTCTCATGTTTCAGTTTTTTGGTTATTTTAATTCCTAATGAAGCCTGCTCTGCTCGTATTACTTTCAATTACTGATTACGCATAGCGTTTTCATGCAATAATTTATCGATATATGCTTTATTTGAATGACATAAACATCTTTTAAGAAAGATTTTATAATAAGGAAAAACGGTGTTTAATAGAGGAAAAAAAAACTTGAAAGAAAATAAAATTTCGTGATGGATACCGAGCAACAAGAGTTAAAAGTCGTCCAAGAATAAGAACATGATAAGAAAAGAAAAGGTTTAGCTTTCTTTAGCTCTATGGTCGGTTTTTTATGAAATGTATCTAGATTTAATAGTGAATCTAAGATTGACATCATGAATTCAGAAAACAAGAACCGAAATTTAGGACAACCTAGTATATCTAAAGAACGAATATTAAATACTGAATGGAAATAATGTCATCTTCTTCTTCCTTGAGATTCATAAATCATAATCCATATTCAGGGTTAGCTGCTGTTAATGAAAGTTTGTTCCATGTCTCCTTTGGCATTGCAAAAATGGAGTTAGCGTTAAATGCCCTCCATGTTTCTTTGCTTTTACTCATCCAAAACGTTCTATCTTTCCTCTTCCCCTTTGATTTCCATATGCTAATTTATATTGGCATCCCGGTCGACTGAAACGCAAGGCACTGGTAATAATAAACAGAATCAGCTCATCTTCATTGCTCCACCTCATATCAAGGCTTCGTTGGTCTAAAAGGTCTGTTTTTGGGGCAAAAACTTGGGAAATCTTAGCATTATTTTCAGATTGTAGCTCATTTACAGAGTTACCAGCAGGGAATTCCTCCAATAAAAATGAAAGATGAAAGAGGCCCGTGAATAGTGGCAAGTAGAGGAGCTTGAATTCAGGACGTGAATGCTAATATTCTTCAACTGTAAAATGTCCATAAACACAATTTGTTGAGGGGATGCATGTGTTCCCACTTTATATACGTACACATACAACCAAAATTGAGATCATCATTCATAGCATTCGGTTGTAAAAACAAGAAACTAGTATGATCTCACAAAAGCGCGAGGGAACAATCGGGGAAAAATCGAGTTTTTTGCTTTAAAAATCAGTGCATATATCCCATAACAAGGAATATGAATTACGGCCAGCGAAAAATACCTGTAGCATATGTAAATTGATTAGTTTTTATTCTATGTGATACAGTTCAAAGTCAGGATAAAACAGATGAAAGCGAGATGAAAAATATACCATAAAGGAGCCCAAGGCGTGTTAAGCTCCAAGAATGGATATGGCCACCTGAGAGAGATGCAAAAACATAACTAGTTCTTGAACCAGCATAAAAAAGAAGAGAAACCATGACCTCTTATCCAGTGATTAGAAAAGAAAAGAAAATGAAACATTATGCTTACCATGTAAAACCACATGCATGAATAACCCACTGGAAAATGACATAGAGGCAGCTCCACAGCACAAAATATACAATGCGGAACCAAGGAAATGGCTGAAAGAAAAACCAAGACAAAAGGCGAAATCACTACAGAGGAAACCCAAAGATGTCTACTTCTGGGCAAAAGATAAAACCTTATTAGGTAACAAAGCAATTAAAGCTTTTATTTTTTACTAGCAAAAATTTGGAATTTCATGCGAAGGCTGTAAAGGATAGCTCCCTAGTCAGTTAAATTTACATGAACACGTTTGGTGGAGGCTCCTATCCGTCAAATATGCACAAGAAATAAGACTCTTTTAATCACACCTGGTTCTCTAGTAATCTGGGGTACAGACTAACAGAATTGGTTTCACTAGTTTCAAACACTGATGGTGGAAGATTAATAGCAATCCAAGTGCCGGACACATGAAAGGAATCATTTCTCCCATAAGCCATTTGTGCTGAGAGATATTGAAAGCTAGAAACAGCTTGGTGCTTGAAGGCAAAACAATAAATCCTCCAAGGTCAGCAGATAGATGCAGAGGAATCTGATCAAACTCTGCAAGACAATTTCCTATTTTCAGGTGCATTCCCCTTTGCTTTATTGTTTCAAATTGAGCTGTGGTGTTTACTTTCTAGGGAGTTCATCAGGTATTGGGGTAATTAGTAGGATTTCCTGGGAAGCATGATAGATGCAAGAGTTTATATGTGTTGTTGCAGCTCTATTTTGCACATGAAGGTTTTATTAGCAATCAAATAAGCAGTGTAATTAGCTCACAGATATCTTGTGGCCTCTTTTGAAATAGAATCAGGCTACTTACAACCTGTAAATACAGTTTCTAAGACCAATACAGTTCCAGATTGGGAAGTGGCTTCAATTGTAGATGATATCTAGCAAATGGTTTCCAGGCTTTCTTACTGTCTTTTAGGCTCATTAATAGAAATGCTAATGGAGTTGCAGACTGGTTACCTAAAGCTGCCGTACTCTCTTTTAAGTTCTCCTGATTGGATTCGTTGTTCTCCAAGGGAACTGTGCTATCCATTGTATCTAGGTATTCGGAGACTACGATGAAAATTCTTCCAATATAAAAGGGAAAAAAAAAATGATGGCTTTGATGCAAAATGATGCTTTAGAATCCATTTAAAGTCTCACTATTCAACTAAAAAAAAAAAAATTAGATATTGCTTTTATTTCTAGAAAAGGACTTCCACTTCTAGCAGTGCAATACTTACAAGGCTATTGAGAGCAGTATCTATCACTAGAAAAACAGCATTCAGAGAATGCATGCAAGCCATCAACTGCAAAGCACAAGAACATCAAAAAATAAGAATTCCACTGGGAATTGAAGCAGGGAACAACTTTGCTCCTAGTTTTTTCAAGGGATCATATGATTGAAGCAGTACAAAATTAACAGTATACAGACAGTTCGTAGATTTTGGAAAACTGGAAGGTAACAAATAGAGAAATAAGTCCAATAAAAAAGTTAGAATTAAAGATTTTAAGCACCAAAATGAGATAATAGCCAGTTTATTAGAGTATTCTCACCACATTGAGGCCGAGGTGCGTATCTGACAAAAAAGGTACTATGATACACCAAAATACAATGTCCGTTAGGATAACAGCACCTGCACAAGTCTGTTAAGAAGGAAAAGAAATATAAATAAACTCGCTCAACTAGAAGAAAGGCATTTCTAAGAATCAATAAAGCACTACTGAAAGGCCTCGAGGACAAGCAATTTTGTGCGTAAACTCACGATGCACACGCATTGTGGCTTCATTATTGTCTATTCAAAAGAGTTTATGGGACTACACAACTGCAAGCATGTTTATTTGTGAGTTTTGCACCACAATGCCGCCAGTAGAAAAGTTGTGTAAGTGTAAATCAAGGCACAAGTGCTGAGGAATTGTTACAAGGGGAGAGTGCCAAAATACCTACATGTATATATACATGACACATAAACATAAGAAGTAAGAAAAGTCTTGATGACTAACCTGGTATATAATTTGCATAAGATATCCCCAAAATCCAGCTCTTTCTCGAATTGCCTCCTCAGCACAGTGACTTTGCAACTTGATGGTACCCCTACTTTCCTTTTCTTTATAAGTTATAGAGGTTGCAGCTCCATTCTTTTCCACATCCCTTTTCAAGAACACAGAATTTTCGCCATTTTCAGAGGCAGCTGGTTGCTTTAAAGACACCCAACATCCATATGCAGATATCACAGTGCCCAGCTACAAGAGAGAATGGTCGCCAAGCGAATGAACGAGTCTTAAACCTTAATTTAACAGTTACTAAAATAGGGACAAATGGGTTACAGTGTTTGACATACCGCGAAATATATCATAACCAACGTAAATGTCCACCTGCGGATAAATTATATGGAAAAAATCAGAAACCAATTCATAATGACATTGATAACCTCAAAATCAAGAACTGTAGAAGAGGAGTTTTGGCTTTTTGGTTATTAGGTATTGGTCTTACTGAGTGTAGAAATAGAAGGCAAAAGCGCCATCTAAGTAGACAATCTGATAAAGCATAGAAGACAAGCAGAGAAAAGCGAAAACTCTATAAAAGAGGAGCCAAAGAGGATTAAGATATCTCCAGCGTGGCTTCCATAGATCATGGCAGAACAGTGGCTCCGTGTTTACATTCTTGATCATATAACAGGCAAGAACAGATGGGCAGATTATTGCTAAAGCACAAACTGGGACTTGCCACCGGAGCCAGTACCCAAGCCCCTCTGAATTAGTAGCCATGGATACAGGATCCGAACAGGTCCTTGAGAGTTGACCACTTGAGTTGAGATGAACAGAGAAGGAGAACACAGAACCAGAATATTTTGATTTTTCATATTCTAAAGTCTTAACTCCATTTTTCCATATGTCGTAACTAGCCCACTTTTTCTGGTCAGGGCCCAGGGTGGTTTCCCGGCCCTTTTCATGTTTCCTGGACTTTGCTTTCAGACCATTTTTTTTAATCGAATTACGAAAACAAAAAGGGTTCGAATAAAATAAGATGGTGATGGAAAAATGTAATCTCTTTTTAATATTTAGAGTAAATGATAGGAAAATATCTCTAAATGAGTTGAAGGAATAAACACTTTTTGCAAAACGTAAGAAACCATGATAAAACGAAAAAAAAAACCAAATAAATTTTTCATATTTTAACTTCCGATGCTTAGTTAGGTGAAATAGAAAACGTGGAAGATGTGAAATATTCTCGTAGAATTCACTCCAGTATCTACTCTTTTTTCTTAAAAATAAAAATAAAAAAGAAAAAAAAAGGACAATATTTTTAAGCATTGGTCTTGAATGAATATTTGAGAAGCTGTGGCACAGTGAATTAATTTTTTAATTATATTTTATCTAAACATTATTTCATTTACGAAGATAGTAATAACATAATAGGTATGTATTTTGGAGAATTTTTACAATCGATAGTGTTAAATTATTATTTTTTAAAATGGACACGTAGACTCTTAAAATTATAACAATAAAATGAAAATTTGAAGAGGTGATGTGTATAACATGAAAACATTGATAAAATACGATTTAAGTGATGAGATGATAATCATGACAATAAATATTAAGGGATGACATGACAAATTATTGATGATTGATGATGTGGTACTAATGATAAGATAAAAAAAAAAAAAAAAAACAATTTTGGAGGCAAATTTTCTTCAAATTATTATTTTTTTAACTTTTCAAAAAAGAAAATATAAATGTACTTTAGAAATGTAAAACATTCAAATTGTTTTCTTTTTATATTTTTCATATTTGGTTAATATCATAAATTTATTTTTTATTATAAATATAATATAAAATATTTCTCTCTCTCTCTCTCTCTACTTTTTTTTGTCAATAAGTGTAACTTTTTCATGATAATTTTAATTTGAATGAAATAAAAATAATATTCTTTTTAGTTAGATTATCACAGATGCCAAAAAATAAGATGGATTTTAGAAATTATGGGTTCAATATTTTGTAAAAAAATGGAATTTTTCCTCTAGTTTTCTACTTTCATTTGTTTTTACTTTGTGAAAAAAATATAAATTGCAACTAAGGTTTTCTTTTTTGGGTTAGAGAAGAAGAGAACCGTTAAGTTATTAGGTTAGACATTATTTTGTAATTGCATTGTATATTTTCGAGAGAGAGAGAGAGAGAGAGGAGAAGAATTAGGGAAATTTCCCTGCAAAATTGTTTTTTCATGCCATTAGAGTCAGTCATCGATATTTTAATATCATATGTTATTTTTTAACAAGATCTTAATTGATTGTTATAATACTGAAGCACCACCGGAAAGAGAAAAACGGAAAAGAAATGCCTTAGCTCATGATTTACAAAGCTAAGGCATTATGAGTAGCTTCCCATAATGTACGTAGAGTTTCTAATGTTAATATTTTCAGTTTACTACTAAATAATTATAAACACAAACGATTAACTAAAAAAAATTTCGTTAGAGTTAACTAATTGTGTAATATTAAATGCAACATTGCTTGTAATTACATAATCTATATAGAAATTTCTAACTTAAAAGGCTCAGATTCAAACCATATAGAAATGGACTGTTAGTGAAACGAAATATTGGATGAGACTGAGTCGTCTAATTAACCTAATTATTTATGTCTGAAAAACCAAACGAACCACTATAAATGAGTAAAATTTACCTAATAACTGTACTAATAATGATGTTTCTCTCTCTCTTCCTTTGCTTAATTACTAAGCCTTGTTACGATCAATGAAATCAGCTAGCATATATATATATAGAGAGAGAGAGAGAGAGAGTAATAAAAAATCATCAATATCGAATTAGCAAAATATTTGAAAATTTATAATCAAGAACAACTCACTCGGTGTAGTAAACAAATATGGTGGCATCCCATTCCACGATGTCCCTCGACAAGAATCCGGCCATGAACAGGAAGGAGATGAAACGAGTAGCCATGAGCCACCCTGGGTGAACCCCTTTCCAACAACTGCTCCATAGTTGGGAAGAACCAACATGGTTCCTTGGCATTGAAGGCAAGGTCCGACCATTAGTATCCGGTCGAGCCACGAGGAGGCTCTGATATATGATATTATCGTCACAGCTTGGGGCAAGTTCCTTCCTCCATAGCACCCATAAGGACACAACAAGAGCCGCAGCAACAATGCCAAAACAAACGAAATCGTACCAATATATGACTAGTGCCATAGCGACACCCACTGGACCCCTTCCTACGATTTATACCTTGGAGATCGAGATGTTTAAAGTGAAGCTGAATGTTAGCACCATGGATTGCATCTAAGAACTTGTTTAGTTGGAGAAGCCTCAAGTTGGAAGGTTTGATAAGCGAATGTTAGGTTTGACTATTCGGTCGGAAATTTGTGTAAGTATCATGTTTTGTAATACAGTTTAAAAAGGAAGGGAATAGACTAGTTGAATGAGTTCTACTCGCCAGTCACGAGAGAACTTCGGTATGTGACTAATAATGACATTAAGAAATTGACAGAGGTGGGACAATTGATGGATGCAATGGGATTAGGCCAAAAGGTCCAACGTTGGATGTCATTCCTAGCTCGCGTCTTTCTCGTTGATTACAATGGTCCAACAATTGGATCACCCCCAAGGCCTGGCCATCCACAATGCATTAGTACTTCAGTTAAATTTGAGTCCAACATAGTGAAAGATCACCGGTGAGCCCCAAGTTCCTACGACTGCCCATACAACACATAAGCTGTAGTTTTAACTATTCGGTTTCTGCTTGCCGTGCGTATCAACAAAACTAAATTATTTTATAATTTTTTGTCAAATTTTTTCATTTAATTAATTTTTTTTTATGTTTTTTATAATTTTTTTACTTAAAAAACATGATTTATTTTTCTTTATGCATTGATTATTAAATAAAAGCTTGTAATAATTTAAATTAAAATATTAATTAAGAATTCAAAAAAATAACCCAAAAATATATCTTTCATAAGAATGCATTCAAAAAAATAAATTTATAATTAATGTATAGACTTGTATAAAAATTAATTAATAAAAAATAAAATTTTATTCTTATTTAATGCTGATGAAAAAAATATTTTTAAAAAATATATGCATTTTATCTATATATATTTATTTACAAAATAATCAATAATGTTAGCATAAAAAATTATATTTAAATAATTGGATAGTTTTTTTGAAAAAAATTATTTTAATCATTTTATTTCAAAGAAATTGATTCTATAATGTTAAAAAATATTCATAGCAAAAAATTGGTGTTATAAGTGAAGATGTACAATTAATGTGTAATAAAATTGATGATTCAACAGCTTTTTTTTATATATGTCTTGATTATGCCTAGTATACTAAGATAAATTGTTTGAAATATACTTTTAACATTTTAGATTAATATATATATATATATATATATATATATATATATATATATATATATATATATATATATATATATATATGCAAATATCATTTAAAAATTCTAAAACTCATAATATATATTATATCAATTCATTTTTCAAAAAGAAAAAACAATCATGTTTTAAAATTTTATTTTAAAATATAAATATGGAGAAAAATAAATCATATTTAAATGTAAATAAAATTTTAATTAATTGGATGAGAATTTTCATAAGAAATGACAAATTCAAAAAGTAGTAATAAGAGTAATATAATCTGGACACACACACACACACACATATATATATATATAAAATCCTCACCGCATCGCGTAAAAACACAAATAATAACATTCGATGTTCCATAATTTTTGCCTAAAAAATTAAAGAAAAAAAAAACAAGGACTAGGCACATGCCTAGGCATGGCGCAACTAGCAAACGAGTGTGGCCTAAGGCAAAAAAGGAAAAAATGTTTGCTTTTAATTTTGGGTGACCTTTGCAATTTCCAACGACCTCGATTTCACTGGATAAATGTATATGATATTAGTTGCATAAATTATTAATTTGTTTTTAATATTCACTCTTTATTTCTATGTCTTGAACTACTTCAAATATATGTATTCTTTAATAAAATAAGTAAATGATAGTACCTATCATACCTATCTCTCCCTCACCCCTCCTAAAACTAGGAACTGGGTTCAAGCTTCAAATAAATTTAGTTTTAAATTTACTTTAATTAAATTAAGAGAACAGAAGTGGAAATGCGGTTAGGGCAATAGTATTATACAAGAAGTTTAAATAAAATAGAAAGACTTTACTTCTATTCTAATCTAAACTTTTAATGTAAATATAATTTAAAATAATTGTATTACTTATTTTTACTATTATTATATTTACTATATTGGCTGCAACAAAATCTTTCATAATTTGATTTCGAGTTAGCAACTTCTATTTTTTCCTTATTTTCTTCTTCGTTTCGGATAGGAAAATAGAAGAGTTGAGTGAATAAAAACCAAAATGAGGTTTGTGACCAATGGTAAAGACGTGTGAATAAGGGTTATTTTAGAATGTACCAGTTGTTTTCAAAACAGTGTTAATAAGAAATCAATAGGTATTTCTAGATATATTACTTAAAAGAATCGACACAATAGGCCTAGTCGATTAGAATTGAGAAAGTTACGTACTAGTTATTGTGCCTATGGTAAATGCTAGGTAGCCAAGTGCGGAGCGAGATAATTGCTTGAAAGCATCTAAGTAGTAAGCCCAACTTAAGGTGAGTGCTCTCCTATTCCTCAATGTCTTGGCTATTTACGGAAGATGCGAAGGAGATGAATAATCATCCGCTTTTGAAAGAAATCAAAGAATTTCTTAAGAATCCTACAAGATCCATTCGTTCTTTTTTCTCCGACGGATGGTTAGAACTTCATATGGGTTCGAATCCTACCGAGAGGTCCACTACGGATCGAAATTGTTGAAGAAAGAATAAGATGTTTCTTTTGTCCCTTCCGGACGATAAAAAAATAAAAAATTATTAATATATTCGAGACAATTACGTATTTATAAAATACAATCTCAATTCATCCTATTTCATTAGATCCGGGATGTGATATGGTTCGAATGATGAACTCGATATGGACGAGTTTCAATAAAATTTCTTTCTTGAACAAAGATCCATTTTTTTTATTTCATCTATTCCATGATCGAAACCGGAGGGGGGTTACACGTTACACTACGACTTTGAATCAAAAGAGAGATTTCAAGAAATGGTAGATCTATTCACTCTATCAATAATCGAGTCGAATTTGGTGTATCATAAGGGATTTGCCTTTTTTATTGATTCCTATGGATTGTATCAAAAACAATTCTTGAATGAGCTATTCAACTCCAAGTATGAATCGAAAAAGAAATCTTTATTGGTTCTACCTCCTATCGGTTCAAATCCGATAAGGGGCTTTGTCCTTTTTTCATAAAACTCCCGTAGGAGTATTTTTATTTGAAGGAGGTATAGGGATATTGTTAATATTTGTAATAAATAAGGTAAGAAACTATATTTTTCTAATACATGGAATTTTAATAAATTCTAAAATTAAATTAGAAGGTTACCATTATAATGATTTATACTCTAATTTAGAGTATACTAATATAGTAATTATAGTTATAAAATTGAACATTTGTTTATTATATTAAAATGAATAATGATAAGTTGGCTCTTTAATCATCAAACTTTCCTATTTTATAAGCAGTCCAATCAAATCAATCGTAAAGATAAGATTAAAAATCAACAAAAGAAAAAGCAACCTAACCTATTGAATCATGACTCTATTCACTATTCGATAGTTAGATCCGATATAGACGAAATTGGAACAAGTAGATTTGCTTTTTTTCTTTCGTTTTCATATTTCTTTGAAACATAAAAAAAATTGTCAATATTTCTAATTCAATCTTTTTGTTTCCGGTTACCTAATTATTCTATAGGAATAAATTACTATTTCCTTTCTCCATTCCATAAAAAAGTTTATTCGAAATCACAACATAAAACATAATAAAACATATAAGGGAATTAAAAATATCTTTCTTAAATATCTTTCTCCGACTCCGAACACAAGATAATTTATATTGATATTTATATCTATATAATATATAAGATTGATAGGTGCGATAAAAAGACTTTTGTTTAATTTTAAATTTCCTATTATTTATTGAATATTGTATTGAATTTAATAATAGAAAAATTCATTCTCCTTTTGCTTTTATGATAGATATAAAATAAATAGAAAAAAGATTCGAAGTGTCTTTTGCGCTTTGACTCGTGAAAGGATATACTCGGGGTTTTATCTTCATCCGAAGAAAAAGAAACATAAGAAAGACGACATTAAAATGAAAGAATAAAATATAAAATAAGAAAAATATATCATATGGTAGTAGGCACATAAAAATTAGAAGAGTACATAAATTTTTTTTTTTTTTTTTTATAAGTATCACAAATAAGATCTAAGAATAAGATTAGTTAGTCTAATCCAAACTTTTTTAAGGAAATGTTGTAAGAAAAAAGGAGATATTTCGCAATTGACAGAAGATGTGATACCAAATTCTAACAAGTATTGTTATTAATTAGAACTTTACAATTGAAAAATAAAATAAAATAATAACCTAGAAAAATATAAAAAATAAAAAAATAAATAGATAATTAGTCTCGTCTATAAGATTTCTAAAAGAGGAGGAGATCATATGAAAAATATAATCAATTCTTTCGTTTTCTTGGGTCACCGGTCATCCGTCGGGAGTTTTGGATTTAATACGATATTTTAGCAAGCAATTCAATAAGAGATCTCGAATCGAATCGATATCTAAGTCAACTGCCGGCACTTGCTCGGTAAAATTTTTTTCATCACTCTAAGCTGTGAAATAAAACTTAAACAAAAGCATATTAACAAATAGGTGCAACTATCATGTTAATTTTTTCCTGCTAAGGGAATGTATAACTTAACTTTTTAGTTGAATTTCCCAGTTTGCTCCTATGCTCTAAATATATATTTCTTTTAAATTAAGAGATAGAGACATGATCTCTTAATTCCCGTTCTAACTTAGCAGCAGAAATGTCAGCGCCTTGATTTTTCCTTCCTTGATCAGACATATAAAAAATGTAAACATGGGAGATTTGTAGCTTTTCACAGACAAGAAGTACTAATCTTAATTCTTAACACCCTTGGAGCACACGAATTTACATATACAATAAAAGCTTAAAATATAATTTTGGTTGCTTGGAATATTATTTATAAAAAGCAGAGTAGGTAGACATTTTGTCCTTTATA